CATATAAGGAATGGTTGCTGGAATTGGGTAAGTCTAGTTCAGCGGTAGGCAACCTTGGTTCTTTTATGACTTGTGGACTTCAACTCCCAGAATTCTTGAGTCAGCCACAAGTTATAAAAGAGCCAAGGTTGCCTCTCCCTGGTCTACTTTAATGAAGAGAAGGATGAGGGGGGACATGATAGCAGTGTTCCAATATCTTAGGAGCTGCCACAAAGAACAGGGAGTCAAGCAGCACAAGAAGGCAGGACAAGAAGCAACCTAGAATTAAGGAGAACTTTTTGGCAATTAGAACAATTAATCAATGGAACAATCTGTCTCCAGAAGCTGTTTTTAAGAAGAGACTGGACAGCCATTTGTCTGAAATGGTATAGGGTTTCCTGACTCAGCAGGGGGTTGGGATGATGATGATGATGATGATGATGATGATGATGATGATGATGATGATGATGATGATGATTATTATTATTATTATTATTATTATTATTATTATTATTATTATTATTATTATTATTATTATTATTATTATATCTACGCAGTGCAAATAGATGATAATAAAAATGTGTTGGCTTCTACCTTGCTCAATAGTAGTAACTGTGAGAGGGATCTTGGAGTCATAGGGCGGCATATAAGTTATAATAAATAAATAAATAAATAAATAAATAGTGGACAATCACTTAAATATGAGCTAGCAGCATACTGCTGCTGCCAAAAAGGCCAACACAGTGCTAGGCTGCATTAACAGAGGGATAGAATCAAGATCACGTGAAGTGTTAATACCACTTTATAATGCCTTGGTAAGGCCACACTTGGAATATTGCATCCAGCTTTGGTCACCACGATGTAAAAAAGATGTTGAGAATCTGGAAAGAGTACAGAAAAGAGGAACAAAGATGATCAGGGGACTGGAGGCTAAAACATATAAGGAACGGTTGCTGGAATTGGGTATGTCTAGTTTAATGAAGGGAAGGACAAGGGGTGACATGATAGCAGTGTTCCAATATCTCAGGGCTGCCACAAAGAAGAGGGAGTCAAACTATTCTCCAAAGCTTCTGAAGGCAGGACATGAAAGCAACGGATGGAAACTAACCAAAGAGAACTAAGGAGAAATTTCCTGACAGTTAGAACAATTAATCAGTGGAACAACCTGCGTCCAGAAGCTGTGAATGCTCCAACACTGGGAGTTTTTAAGAAGAAACTGGACAGTCATTTGTCCGAAATGGTATAGGATTTCCTGCCTGAGCAGGGGGTTGGACTAGATGACCTCCAAGGTCCCTTCCAACTTTATTATTATTATTATTATTATTATTATTATTATTATTATTATTATTATTATTATTATTATTATTATTATTATTATTATTATTATTATTATTATTATTATTATTATTATATCTACGCAGTGCAAATAGATGATAATAAAAATGTCTTGGCTTCTAAAAAACCCCAGATATATTTGATAAATTTCGTATGGAAAAAACTGCCACAGTTCCCAATATTTCTCAAAGATTACTACCTTTCTGAAACATTTAAGAAAACATTTTTTTAAGATAATGAAGTTGAACCCTGGCCTTCATCCTTAAATTTTGGAATTACAAGATCAATGACCAGTTGATTGAGGAGTAATTTTAATTCCAGATAATGTACTCAGGGACTAAACAATAAAAACTAAACCAGGCAGCAATATTTGAATATTTAGCAAGATTTTGAGGAAGTTGTAGTACGTAGGAAGAGGTTAGTCATACTTACATCTCTGTGTAAATATTAGACTAACGGTTTCTCAAATTTTACCAAACAATAGTTGTTCATTAACTTTATCTGTATAAAATGAATTCTCCTCTATGTTTCTTTCCATTTCCAAAATGGGAAAACAATTGTTCATTCTGTGGCTGGCTTTGTCTTCACAAATTCTATTGACAGATGCTTTTATCTATCAGGTACTTGTCTTGGTTGATGCTTAATTGTTCATTGAAATATGAAAACAATATACATGCCTGAATTTTTAATGATTCAATTAATTTTACAGGTTGAAAGTTAAAACGAATAGCTAACTGAGAAGAACTAGACATAGACCAAGGGAAGATGAGTTGCACTGTAGCTGAACATGTTGTTTAGAAATGGCATGTGTGACTGTACTTGGATATGTGTATTGTTAGTGTAAAGATGTAACTGAAGGTGACTAAGAGCATATTAACAGGGGAATTTGTTGTCCCTTGGAGAAGTTGTGGCATCTCATTTAAGGTGCTCAAAAGAGGTATTTGAATTTGGATTCTCTCACCAAACTGGGAATTGAACTCAGGGACCAAAATGGTTCTAGCTCTTTGATTCTAAATTCAGCTTATCGGTTTGTGGAATGAGAGTTTGGTGGGTTTTGAGCTTTATCTGTTGTCAAAATGAATAAGGATATTTTGCTGGAATCCTAGCAGTTTGGAATCACCCTTAGTTTGGATCCATTCTCAAGGGCCAGCAGACTCCAGAACTTGATTTATTACAAGTTCCTATAAAGTAATGCAAGACTTCAACAAAGCAAATCTGTTTTCTTGATTGTGGCAGCTCTTCAGAGTCTAAGAGCAGTCCAGGCTCCCTTGCTGGGAATTTTTGCCTCAATGTGTTTTTCACCCTCCAGTGACAGGAGCTCTCCTTTCTCTTGCTTGTGGTAAATAATCACCATGTCTTAAATCAGAAGCTGCAAAGACAAACACTTTTGGATAGATTGAGGAATGGAAAAGATTGAGGTTTAAAAATGCTCCAAACTGAGTGGTCTTTTAAAAGTATTAAGATGAGATAGATTGAAATGTGACAGAAGATTTTTCCCATTCGTTTTCACTTTTTATAACCACAAAATATATTTCTGCTACATCTAAGTACGGTCACTTGTTATACTTAGAAAAGACAGTGTTATTGACAATTTCATTTTTGCTCTGCTATCCCATCCCCAAAACGAACTTCTGAATAGAGCCCTACTCGACCTCTAGTTATATTTAAATGTATATATCTCAATTTATTTAGAAATATCCTAAAGCAGGTCAGCTAGTAGGTATCCACAGGGGAAGGCTCAATAAAGTCAAATCAGCAGCACATCGGCATGATTGAAAGCCCACTTGTTGTATTGAGGAATATTCAAAGAACAGAACTTCAATAGCATAGCTGCACCCTTAACTTTAAAAACAACAAAAACCCTCCTTTGTGGACATTCCTGCAGATATCAACACTCCAGGATCCTAGGCAGAAATTCACACCCATTCGGCTGCATGTACAGGATCTGAGATAGTCTATAAACAAAGCCTTTAAGCCA